ACAGAATGTTCGCAAAATACCCACAAGGAGGCAGTGTAGAGTAAAAAAATGTTTTTTATGTAGAAAGCGACTTTACGAAACTTTAATCAGTCAACGCAGAGTGAAAGAGAAATTAGCTGTCATTTAGCCTGCTGGCAAAAGTACATTTCCACGCCTATTTCTGGTCTTAATGTGTGTGTGGGCAGACAAGTGACATATTGAGGCACCTTCAGGAGCGATTAGTGCACCGGCCAATCCGCTTTCCTCCGAGAATACGACTATTTCGGAAAAGTACAGACAAGGTCAGGTTCACATGTCCTTAACGCAGAGGCCCTCGATATTTTCTTGCAGTGGCAAAACGGGTATGTATCGTTGCTACGTCGGACAAATATATACTGATGGAAGGGAACGAATAGGGTCTTCAAATGTGACGATCACAGATTTGCAAGGAATCACTATCGAGCGGAAGTTTCACGGAGGTTTAGATCCCAGATTTGAAGACTAGAAAAATAATACCTTTGGGAGTTATCTTGTTTGTTAGCATTTTGGTGACAGCAAAGGATATAGGTACCTGGATGCCTGGCTGCAGTTGAGGTAGATCCACTTGATAGCCCCAGTAAACGGTACTAAAAGCTACTAGATAAAAGTGACCGGGCAGCTTCACTCAATCCGTTAGACGCTCAATTGTGTACCTCCTACTTGAATATTACCACTTTCATGTACGAAAACCTAAGTAGTTCTCACCGTCACACAGACGAACGTAAGAGGAGATGATTATTTCGTGGAAAAATTGTTTGAGATATAAAGGCCATTTCTAATAAAAAAAGGTCTTATCAGGTCATAAAAGACCGTCTTTTAGGAATCACCACCAAATAAAGCCAACTTAGGCAGCCATATTCTGAAATCAAGACTTCTGGGTCGCAGCTACGTGGCCAACTTCTGTACTGCTTCCGTTGTAATGGGCAGAAGGCAAAGAGTCCAGGAAGAGCACGGTGTGAGTTCGAGTACATATAGTTCCAGCATTATGTTAGATGTTTCAGAAGACCTATCATAAGAACAACTTCAAGGAGGTTAAATTTC